CCGAGGCTCGTAGCTTCCATGGGTTGGCTTCTTTTTATAGACGGTTCATCTCCCATTTTAGTTCTATCACCGCGCCTATCACGGACTGTCTCCACGGCAAGTCCTTCGTCTTGACTCCTCAGGCCGCTGCCGCATTTGATCTTATCAAGGAAAAGCTCACCTCTGCTCCTGTTTTGGTCCTTCCTGATTTTTCTCTCCCCTTTGAGCTTTCGTGTGACGCTTCCAAGGTCGGGATTGGGGCCGTGCTCAGTCAGGAGAGTCGTCCTGTCGCTTTCTTCAGCGAGAAGTTGTCGGGACCACGTTTACGCTACAGCACGTATGATGTTGAGTTCTATGCTGTGTTTCGCGCGGTCCATTATTGGCGGCACTATCTTTTCCAGCGGGAATTTGTTTTGTTTACAGACCACGAGGCTCTTTGCCATCTTTCGTCTCAAGGTAATATCTCTTCTCGCCATGCTACTTGGTCATCTTTTCTCCAACAGTTCACTTTTGTTCTGAAGCATCGTTCGGGTGCTTCTAATCGCGTGGCTGATGCCTTGAGCCGCCGTTCTTTGTTGTTGACAGATATGCGGGTTGAGGTTGTGGGGTTTGACTTGCTGAAGAATCTGTACGCGTCGGATCCCTTTTTCGGGCCCATTTTATCCCGCCTCGCCTCGGGCCCTACTGATGGTTATGCTCTTGCTGATGGTTTCTTGTTTCGTGGTATGAGGTTGTGCATTCCGGACTCTAGCTTGCGCCTCAAGTTAGTAGCGGACCTTCACAGCGTCGGGCATGTGGGACGTGATCGGTCCATTGACCTGGTGAGTCTTTCCTTTTTCTGGCCCTCGTTGCGCCGTGATGTGGCTCGTTTCGTGGAGCGCTGCCGTATCTGCCAGGTGTCGAAGGTTGTCGCTTCTAATGCCGGCCTTTACCGGCCCTTGCCGATCCCTTCTCGTCCGTGGACCGCTATTAGCATGGACTTCGTCTTGGGTTTGCCTCGTACTCAGCGAGGTAATGATTCCATCTTCGTGGTCGTTGACCGTTTTTCTAAAATGGTAAACTTTATTCCATGCAAGCGGACGGCGGACGCACTTCATGTCGCTACTTTATTTTTTCGCGAGATTTATCGCCTTCATGGTTTGCCGTCGTCTATTGTTTCTGATCGTGACACCCGCTTTCTTAGCCATTTTTGGCATAGTATTTGGCGTTTGGCCAACACTCGGTTGGATTTCGGTAGTGCTTATCATCCTCAGACGGACGGCCAGACTGAGGTCGTCAATCGGTCGCTTGGCAATTTGTTGCGTTGTTTGGTGGGTGACAATCTGAAGAGTTGGGATCAGCGGCTTCCACAGGCTGAGTTTGCTCATAACTCGGCTCGTAGTCGTGCGACGGGATTTTCTCCGTTTGACGTAGTGTATGCGGTCCGTCCGCGTGGGGCCGCGGATTTGCTCACGTTGCCATCAGCTGCGGCGGCTGACCCACGTGCCGAGGACCTCATGACGGAGCTGCGCCGGACCCACGAGTCCGCTCGGGCGCGGTTGGAGGCGGTCACCGCGGGCTACAAGAAGCAGGCCGACATGCGACGTCGGCATGTCGAGTTCGATGTGGGTGACTTCGTTTGGGCAGTCTTGACCAAAGATCGTTTCTCAGCGCATGAGTACAATAAGTTGTCGGCCCGTAAGATTGGCCCCGTTGTGATCTTGGAGAAGATAAATCCCAATGCCTACCGTCTTCGTTTGCCGTCACATATTCGGACTTCTGACGTTTTTAACGTCAAACATTTGGTCCCTTACCTTGGTGATAATTCTGACGGCGACGAGATCGATCCGGATTCGAGGGCGAATCCTTCCCAATCGGGGGAGGATGATGGAGACGAGATCGCAATGGCATTTATGGAGAAATATGATTGTTTGCCATCCTTAGTTTAATTATTTATTTCCTATCTATTTTTATTATTATATTTTATTTCCTTTTCCTAGTTAAGAATGGAATAATCCATGTTATATGGAATTTATTTATTAAGGTAAGTTAGAATTTTTAGGCTTGTTGGGACTCTATATATATTGTCTCTTCTTTCAAGAGAGGCAGACTTTTATGAATAAAATTTATCGATTGAGTTTTCTCATCTTCTTTCCTTTCGTTTAATTGCTGCGCTACATCATATAGTTTACAATCATGCAAGAAAAATTTAAATTTGAAGGAGTTGGTATAAATATCTCTATTACAAAAGATATTTTTTTGTATGTATATTTTAGATTGTATCTATATTACGTCCGTAATTAATACTTCTTTTACATGCGAATAATCAACATACAAATAAAAATATATTTTTAATCATTCAAATTTAATTGTTTAAATATTATCTCGTCATCATGCAACACTTAAAGACACCAAATATAATTTTAAAAGTATCCATTGAATAGGAGTCCTTCATCACCGGTAGGAATGGATTCAAATAGTCAGGATCCCTGAAAGGTCCGGTGGGATGGATTTGTATACTCCGAAAAAAAAAACCGAGAAATAAAAAATGGTAATCCCATGTTACAAACCCAAAATATAGTAAAAAAATAGGTGGATAAATGTATTAAAAAAATTAAATGAAAAATAAATAACTAAAATATGTTGTAACGGTTTTTGAAGTGAGCCGTAAATATTTTTATTAAATGAACTATATTTTTATTAAATGTTGACAAAATAAAATTTAATGAAGTTCGCCATAAATTATATAATATAAAATTAATGTTGACAAAATATTTTTATTAAATGTTTACACTTTACTAATGAGCAATAGTAAAATATATGTGATATTTTTTATATGAGTTTTAGTTAATATATAATTGAACAATTAATTTTTAAATGCGATTAAACGATTTGTATTTTTATTATAAATATACATATTATATAAAATGTATAATATTGTATTACCATAATTGTACTGTAACCACGGTAAGTTACAATACATAATGATATGGGATACTATATCCGGAAGACCAAGTGCAATAAACCGGTCAATCAAGTTGAACAAATCGGGTGGTAGTAGCAGAGAAGTCGAGAGATCGAACAACAAGAAGACATTTTCAGGTCGAAAGGAGCTATGGTTTCACAAGGACAACGATAGGTCGAGCTAGGACCCTCACATGGTCTGCTGGGAACTCGACCTATAGGCATGGGTGGTCTTGCGATCGACCAAAAAGGACAACAACTTAGTCTAGAACAGACAACGGTCCACCCCAGACGACCTCGAGTTGGTCGCCCCATTAGGCAATCTAACAGGAAAGACCAATGGATAAGAATGAATCTTAAGAGGTCAAGAGTCGCACGTGGATAGGGCAATTGACCTAACAGAGTTGAGCAATTCGGGCAGTTCGGGCCGTACTATTGGGCAACAAGGTATCATAATTTATGTAAAGGAGTGGGTATGCTCATTATCATATTACACACTTTATATACATTTTCATATCACACTTTATCTTCTTCAAGTGTTCACTTAAGCTCTGAAGGATCTTTACCGAAAAACCTTTTTGATATTAGAATTTTGCAGATCAAAAAGTGTTTAACCGGCGGAGGAGCTTAAGATTAGGTCGATTCCAGCCGGTCGGAAGTATTTGACATACTACATACCTTGCATAAAAATACCTTATTCCATCCAATGATTAAAATATTGTACCATACCGACCGGTAATTTTAGATACCAACCATTGTACGACGCAATTATGCACATAATATCGGATTTACGGTTACACCAATTTGTACCGAGATCATATCGTAAATATCAAAAAATAACGGTCCAAAATACAGGGCAACAAATAAAAAATAAATAAAGTTTATTAATTTAAACATATAAAATTTAAATTGATATTTAAAATGTTTTATTCTTATTTCATTGTGAAGTTGAAATTAATCATTATGATTTTTTTTTTTTTGCTTTTTTACATTTATTATTATACGTTTTTATGTATATTTATATATATTGTTATATTTGTTGGTTTGATAATACCACCTATATTATTGGTCCATCCACTAATTTTGCATATCGGTGACTAGACCAATATGATTATTACGGTACTATATTTAAAACACTGATTCCATGTAGTATTATTTTAACTTTTAAGTAAAGCCAAAATTACTAGGAAAAAATAAAAAATAAAAAATAAAGCCAAAATTATTTGTTAAAAAAAAAAAAACATAAAAACCAAAATATAGTCAAAATTGGTCTCTTACTCCTTTATTATTCATTTGCCCCTTTTTCCGAACAAAATATTTCATTATTTCAGTTTCTACACCGCAAAACCCTTGAAGAAATCTAAGCTGGCCGAAGTTTGTACTGGAAATGATAAAATTGGTGAATCCATTTATCTCATGAAGCTCCGCCCGTTCGGTAAGCTATTGTTCTCTTAGTCGAAAACCTTCTGTTTGGATATTTGTCGAATTGTCGATCCTTTTTTTCTTTCTTATTTCCTTCATCACATTCTACTTTCCTGGATTTAAGTACTCCATAAGCTGGATCATCTTGATGAAATTGGAAAAGGGTGCTGATTTATGTGATTTTCCTGTTGAAAGTAGGTAGCTTTTTTCTGTCGATTTTCGCACCAATTTTATGTTGAAAACGAAGGAAAAAAGAGGGAAATAAAAATAAAAAAAAAATTGAAACTTTATTAGCTTTGGCGAGTTCATCCTCACTATTGAATATTGATTCATTGCCTATCAAAAGGGGGGTGTTGTATAATTTTCAGAAGAAGATTGAATTTGACCCATTTCTCCAGAAAATACCGACCTAAAATGAGATGGTGGATCTTGAAGACAATGTAGATGGCAGCAGCCAAGGTGTGGCGCCTCCCACTGTGGCCCACGCGGGGAATTCTCTCCCCAGACGAGACCCTTCCGGAACTGAACTCCACGGGCTCGAGCCGTTTGACGGGCTAGAATTCGAATCCCACGAAGTCGCATATTCGTTCTACCAGAACTATGCAAAATCTATGGGCTTCACAACCTCCATCAAAAACAGCCGCCGCTCGAAGAAAACGAAAGAATTCATCGACGCCAAGTTCGCGTGCTCGAGGTACGGCCTCACACCGGAATCCGACAGTGGGGTCAGCCGGCGGCCGAGCGTTCGGAAAACCGACTGCAAGGCTAGCATGCATGTGAAGAGAAAACGGGATGGAAAATGGTACGTGCACGAGCTCGTGAGGGAGCACAATCACGAGCTCCTCCCGGCCCTCGCGTACCACTTCCGAGTNCATGGGGGCGCCAGGCTGGCGGAGAAGAATAATGTGGACATTCTGCACGTGGTAAGCGAGCGGACGAGGAAGACTTATGTCGACATGTGCAGGCAGTTTTGCGGGTCCCACGTAGCCTTCTCCGGGAGGAACGAGTTCGAGCCGGGCAGGTATTTGGCTCTGGAGGAAGGGGATGCTCAGGTTATGCTGGAGTATTTCGTTCGGGTCCAGAAGGAGAGTCCATATTTCTTTTACGCGGTTGACTTGAACGAGGAGCAGCGGCTCAGGAACTTGTTCTGGGTCGACGGGAAAAGCAGGAGGGATTACACGAGCTTTGACGATGTAGTTTTTTTCGACACGAGTTCTGTGAAGGGCGGCGAAAAAATGCCGATCGCGCTCGTTTTTGGCGTGAACCATCATTTTCAGCTCTTGCTGCTTGGTTGCGCCCTGCTGGCAGACGAGTCCAAGCCGTCGCTCGTCTGGCTGATGAAGACGTGGCTCAGGGCAATGGGCGGGCAGGCTCCGAAGACCATAATCAGCGATCGAGACAAGGGTTTGCAGTTGGGGATTGAAGAAGTGTTCCCGTATTCTCGGCATTGTTTTGCGCTCTGGCATGTATTGGAAAGAGTGCCCGAAGCCCTTGGCCACGTGCTCGAGCACAACGAAAATTTCTTGAAGAAATTCAACAAGTGCGTGCTCAAATCGTCGACCGACGAGGAGTTCGACATGAGGTGGTGGAAGATGGTGAGCCGGTTCGAGCTGCAGGAGAACGAGTGGGTCCATTCGATTTACGCTGANNAGAAGTGGGTCCCGGCGTTCATGCGGGACACGTTTTTGGCCGGATTTTCCACTCATCAGCGGTGTGAGAGCGTGAGATCACACTTCGACAGGTTCTTTCACAAGAAACTCAACGTGAAGGAGTTCGTGAGGCAATACGGGGTGATGCTTCAGAGCAGGTACGAGGAAGAGGACGTGGCGGATTTCGACACTTGGCACAAGCAGCCGGCTCTCAAATCTCCTTCGCCTTGGGAAAAACAGATGTCGTCGATTTACACGCACGCGATATTTAGGAAATTCCAAGTCGAGGTGTTGGGCGTGGTCGGGTGTCATCCGAGGAAAGAGAAGGAAAATGGAGGGAACACGATTTTTAGAGTCGATGACTGTGAAAAGTCGGAGAGTTTCACGGTCACGTGGAACGAGCCGAAAATGGAGGTTTCATGTTCGTGCTTGATGTTCGAGTATAAAGGATTCCTCTGCAGGCACTCCATGATTGTACTCCAAATATGCGGTCTTTCGAGTATCCCGTCACGTTATATCCTCAAGAGGTGGACAAAAGATGCCAAGAGCAGGCAGTCTGTGGTGGAAGGGACCGAAAGAATCCAAACGAGGGTTCAGAGGTACAATGACATTTGCAGATGTGCTATCGAGCTAGGAGAAGAAGGTTCCTTGTCCGAGGAGAATTACAACATTGCTTGTCGTGCTTTGGTTGAAGCTCTGAGGAGCAGTCTGAATATCAATAACAGAAGTTCCGTAGAATGTGATAATAATAATGGGATTCGTTATTCTGAAGAAGAGAATCAATTGCTACATACTACCAAAACGAATAGGAAGAAGAGTGCAAACAAGAAAAGAAAGGTTGGACATGTGCTATCACTCGCCTTTTTCATTATTTTCTTTCTTCATTCCTTCCGTTTCTTTATTTTCTGATTCATTGTTATTTTACATAACGTTTTCGGACCATTGATTTGATACACATCGTGATGAATTACAGCCCGAGCTGGAAGCAGGCCCTGCTGACGCTCAAGACAGTTTACAACAAATGGTAATTAATTTGTGTACACGTCACTATTTGTCAAGTATAAAAATATGTAATGCGAGATCTGCATCTCAACCTGGTAATCGTCATAGTGCCGGTTTTCTTTAGTTTTGGTTTCTTACGGCCTTAAAAATTGTTTTAGACAAGTATTGACACGGGTTTGAATCTCATATGCCAAATGTGAACTAAACAAATTCAGATTATCAGTTATTATTGTGGCTTCTGACTTGAGTAAAGGTTATGCTGATAAGGTTTTTGTATACCCTCTCATAGGAACCCTTAAGCTCGGAGGCGATTACCTTAAATGGGTACTACGGGTCCCAACAGCATGCGCATGGACTGGTATATTTCTCATGCTTTCTTGAACTATACGATACTAGTGGAGGAAAGTATTGTGTGATTTTTGTACCATGCCGAATATAACATGTTCAAATTTACGAATAATGATTCACCTCTTATTGTTGGTTTAGTTGAATTTGATGGAGCCACCACACGACGCTTACTATGTTGGTCAACAGAGCATGCAAGGCCTGGTATGCATGCCATAGTTGACTTGTGTGTCATGGCATAATTACGCATGAAGTAATTTAACGAATTTTGTGTGTTCTTTGATTGGAATTTTAGGGACAGCTGAACTCCCTTTCGTCTAGCCATGATGATTTTTACGCGTCTCAACAAACCATGCCTGGACTGGTACCGTAATCTGTTACATTATTACTTGAATTTGTTGTCTCCATAATAAATTTACGGTTTATTACAAGATGTACACCTGAGGTTCAATGTATTTACAAAAAGTTATTTGATATCCCTCGTGTGAAAAAACTCATTAGTTGTAACAAGTAATTGATTAATAACGACCCTCATTTGTTCTACTTATATATTAGGGGCATCTGGATATTCGACAGTCATCTTTCACTTACGGACAGGTTAGTTGTGTCAACATAACATTACCATGACGTATATTATCGCTTGATGATTTTCCATTATCGCAAATGACTATTTTCTCCCCAAAAATCTAGGACGAGCACAATTTGAGACCTGCTCAGTTGCATGGTTCTGCTAGGCGTTCATGAGGAGCCCTGTACGCGTACATTTCTGTCAGGTTGCTGTAGATGTAGATAGGAAAGCTCAAATGCACAAATGGTGTGTTGTAAATTGCTTTATAAGTTGGATATGAAAATATAAATGATCATTGAATGACTTAGTTGAGGAGCTATTAGTATACAAATTGAGGCATCTTTTAATTTATTTAGGCGAATCCCAAAACTTTTATTTACCCGAAATGTCACGCTTTTGTTTATGTTGTTTTTACAATATGCATTTCAATTTGAAAATACGCATATTTTTGTTCGGATTAATTTGAAAATATGCATTTCTGTTTGAAAAGTACACACATATAATCGTTGATTTCATACTAAATCAGAAAGATATGATTGTTGTTTGTGAAGTCAGATTGAGTATTAGTGAGAAAATCTCCTTTTTATCACGCACACAAGAAAAGTGAAGTGTAAAAGCATTTGTAGCCTTTGGACATTTCTGGGATTGTCTCTTCTTGTACATTGTCAACAAAAGCATAATGTGTTTAGTGGCTTAATTGGTGCTGATGAGCTGAGTTCGATCCCGTATGATTATAAAGCTCGATTAGTGAACAACGGATGAAAGGTTTCAGGAGGCCGTCGAAGATGCTTTCATTTCCATTTCATAGAAAAATGGCGCCTATTTTCTTCGATCCCGTATGATTATAAAGCTCGATTAGTGAACAACGAGTCAAACTAAAGTCGGTAAAGGCTCAAAAGCATAATAATTTTTTTTTTTTTAATATAGTAAGAATAATTACTTTAGTTCGACTCGTTAAAGTTCAAATTCGACTCGATTTGTATAAGAAACTCAAGTTTTGCTGACTCATTTGCACATATCTGCACAGTAATAAGATTGAGAAAATCCAATAGTGATTTACTTGACTTCAATATTTGGCAGTTCTTGTAGCTTAGGTAGCAGTAACCTAAGATCCCAAATGAGGTAAAAAAAATAGTCACATTATTGATGGACATGATGATGACCAGTAATTAAAACAAAGCTGACAAAAATTTATATAGTAATTTAATTTTTACCATATGAATAAGTCAACAAATAGTAGAAAAAACGGTCGAGCCATGTGGGCCCCTCTTTGACTGAGGGACCATGTGGGCGTGCCGGTGTACAGAGATTGTGGACCATTTTGCCACGCACCAACGTAGGCGGGACCCACCCACCACAAAACAATCTCTCTCCAAAAACAAACAAACGTCCTCGATGCCTTCAAAAACCCGTCTCCATTATAGATGTTGTTCAGTTCAGTCACACACACACACACATTCACACAGCAGAGTCTCATCAGTCATCAGTGCCTCATTTTCTCTCCCTAGAGCTGAAGAAAACACAGCAATGGCGGTGGTGGGCTGCAGGACAGTGGAGCTCCTCACCTTCTGCATGCTCCCGCTCGTCATCTTAACCATTATCTCCGTTGCAGGTATAATTTCTCGCGCATTGCGATTGTTATTTTTTGAGCTTGTCCGTTTCGATTTTCTAGTTTTAATGTGACTATAACTTAAAATCAATCGTCATTTTTTTTTTTCTCGATTAAGACAGTTACAGATTTCTGGATTGTCAGTTTTGTAGCTTTAATGTCGTTATCTGTCAATAGCTGATGATCTCATCTTTGTCGAGAAACGAAGCGTCGTTTTGCCATTAATCCCAGAGTTGCTTGCTTTCTGATTTTTTTTTGCAAGAACATTTGAATCCCTGAATACGCGAATGCATATTCAGATTCGCTTCTTTTTTCTGGCTGCATCATTTGTAATGAGCTTGTTATTGCCCAGAAATTATGTGGAAAATCATATCGTGATTCGCTTAATCTGAAATTGGACCTGGTGCTGGTGTATTTCTCTGCTGCTTCACATTGTATGCATATGCATTTAATCATTCACTCGCAGAATCTGCAGACGGTGGTTCAATCGGCATAAACTACGGCCGTATAGCCAACAACCTCCCCACACCATCCCAGGCGGTTCAGCTCCTGAAATTACGTGGCATGGCCCGGGTCAAGATCTATGACACCGACCCAACCGTCCTCCGTGCCCTTTCTGGCTCCAGAATCAAAGTCACCATCGACCTCCCTAACGAGCTCCTCTCAACCGCTGCCCGCAGCCCCTCCTTTGCCCTCTCGTGGGTTCAGACCAACATCATTGCTTACAGCCCGTCTACAGAAATCGAGGCTGTTGCCGTAGGCAACGAGGTCTTCGCCGACCCCCAAAACACCACCCCATTCCTCCTCCCGGCAATGTACAACATCCAGAATGCCCTCATAAAGTACAACCTCCAAGCCCAGATCAAGGTCTCATCCCCCATCGCCCTCAGCTCACTCCAGAGCTCCTACCCTCCCTCCGCTGGCTCCTTCCGGGCGGAGCTGGTCAACACTGTCTTCAAGCCCATGCTCGATTTCCTCCGGAAAACCGGGTCGCCCCTCATGGTCAATGTGTACCCGTTCTTTGCATACGAGTCGAACACTGATGTAATTTCGCTCGATTACGCGCTTTTCCGGCCGAACCCTGGCAAGGTCGACAGCCTTAGTGGGTTGAGGTACTTTTCCCTGTTCGACGCGCAGGTGGACGCGGTTTTTTCTGCCATGTCAGCTCTCGGGTACGACGATGTCCCGATCACGGTCAGCGAGACCGGATGGCCGTCGAAGGGGGACCAGAACGAGGTGGGGGCCACAGCTTCGAACGCAGCCGAATACAATCAGAACCTCGTCCGTCATGTCCTGACTGGTCCGGCGGGGACTCCTCTCCGGCCGAAAGCAAAACTTACAGTGTTCCTTTTTGCTCTGTTTAACGAGAACCAGAAGCCTGGGCCCACATCTGAGAGGAACTTCGGGCTGTTCTACCCGAACGGGAGGAAGGTATATGATATCCGGCTTACTCTCAGGGAGCTCAATGGTTATCAGGATGGGTCGAACTCGAATCCGAATCCGCCTTCGGGTGGCGGCAGAACTGGCGGAGGCCGGCCAAGGGTGGCGGCGGGGAGCGGGCAGACATGGTGCGTGGCGAGGAGTGATGTGGGCTCGGAGAAGTTGCAGGCGGCCTTGGACTTTGCGTGTGGCGAGGGAGGAGCGGATTGCCGAACGATCCAACCGGGATCCACGTGCTTCGATCCCAACACGCTCGAGGCACACGCATCGTACGCGTTCAATAGCTATTATCAGAAGTTTCGGCGTGCCGAGGGAACGTGCGTCTTTGGTGGGGCTGCCTATATCGTCTCTGAGCAGCCGAGTGAGCATCTTCTTATTTTCGTTACCCTCTCTTAAATTAATGCATTCACTTTGATTTTGTGGAAAATATTGCCACTCCAATGTCGGGTCAAACTTTTTTCTCAAGAATAGAGAGTAAATAAAATACACAAAATTGTCTGGTTTAACCACAGTAAGGAAATAATGATAAAACGAACATCAGGCATGCTCTCAGCCAAAGGTAAGATGAGAGGCAATGTTATATTCAGTTAAACTAGTCGCGAGGTAACATTAAGACACCCGCACGGCGGTACGGGTGTGGGAAGAAGGGGCCCACAACACATTTAGTTTGAGGTGACTTTAACTGTCCCATCGACAAACACCCGTACGGGTGTGTGTGATCGGATAGATAAACTTAAAACACCCATGGCGCACAGGAATAAGATCGAATCTGCCGAAGTTCACTGTAATTTGTATATTACTTGATTGTGATGCATGTCTACATAAATACTTGCAGTCAGTTTTTTGTTTAACCAAGTTTTCTTCTTGTCTCTTGTTGTAGAGTATGGCAGTTGCGAGCTCTCGTTTGGAAATTGAAGGAAAAAAAGGTGAAGTTTGATGAGATTTTCGCCAGTTTGATAACTAGTAAAGTCTACTCTTATATATTTTGTAATATTTATTTCTCATTATACTCGTGTTTTGGTTTCAATATCTTTGTGTAGTTTTTAATCATAATCATTAGCATTAGTTAGTAGATGAAGTGTCTAATTATAGTATTATACAGGACATGAGCTATTTTATATCAGAGCAGCCGCTTGTTTTTCTTTATTCGGTGGAGCGTCATTCTTCTACCTAATACTCATTACTGTATGTTTCTGTGATTTTTGTTGTTATATTCCTTTTACGGTGGTTGTTGCATTTGTTGTAATAGAAAATTAGCCTATTATACACAAAAATGTTGAATGATTGAAATATTACGAGGTGTTAATATCGACTGTGCATTTGCGTTGAGGGGTGATTTTAGCAATTCTAGCACTTGTGTTAGTAGAGTAGAATTGGTGTTAATCACCTTATATAATTAGGAGAAATGCTACTGTCCCGTTACGGAACCAGGGGATTTGTAACAAGTAGATCATCATGTAACTGTAGCGGATAGTTGATATGGTTCCGTAACGGGATCGTAAAATCTCTCATTAATTAGATAATCATAGTTGTCCAATTAATATACCTACATTTACACCATATTTGAAAAATGAAAACTATACAAAATGACTATTGTATTTTCTGAAAAAAAAAATTAAGATTCTCATAAAATAATTTGCATTTGGTTAAAAATTTATGACTTACTTTTGCTTAAAAATTTTGGGTTTGTCAAACAATTCTTGGACCATATATGACAAACAGTTTTGTAATGAAGCCATCGGATGACTCGGCTCGACTTATGGAACTATTCACTATATATATATATTAAGTGGTAGATGACTCCATAAGAAAACGACCGGTTGATAGAATTTTTTTTCTTTGGCAAAATGCAAATTATAAAAGTCTGAAATTTTTTATTTAGTTGGGCAACTTAAAAATGCCATAATTAAGACGTGTAAATGAGCTAAAGTTGGACTCATTAGCTTAAATGGTAGTCATAGTTAAGAGGTAACTAAACGGCAATCATAGTTAAAAGGTGTAAAATATAGTATAAGAAAAAATCATCTTTTTTTTTACAGGGATCTTCCGGTTTTCGGATCCACAGGGGAACCGACTAATTCGGAATCGAGCCGGGTAGGACCACAAGGGCGGCAAAGCTCTCCTTAAAGAGTTTTAACACTGTTGCATTCTCAGGGAAAAAAATCATCCTTTGATCACAACTTACAGACTGTTTTCCAACCAGTTACACTACCGTGTGCCTTGACACACCTAGCTAGGTGTGCCAAGGCACAATTGCACGCGCTTTTCACTCTCCAAAATTAGAAAAATTAGGAGAGTGTAGTGCACATCCCTAATTTTTTTATTTTTAATTGAAAAATGAGACATAATACATAAATTAAAATATCATTAATTATTTATATTAAAAAAATAAAATAAAAATACCAAAATTCATAATTTTTCATT